TCTTGCACAATAAGGTTAATTATATGTGCACAACATCGCATATGAAATATCTTCCCTTTTAACATTAGCGATGAAGAAGAAAGAGTACCTAAAAGCTTGTCGATTATTGCATCATTTGTCGAGCAATTGTCAAGAGTCAAAGTTGACAGCTTGTTGTCAACATTCCAATCGAGAAGACACTCCATCATAGCTTGTGACAATGCTTCGGCCGTGTGTGGAGATGGCACGTGTATAAAGCTGCATTAAACAAAATAATAGATTATTATCAATAAATTAATCCACGATATAAACTAGAGATGCTACACTAGAGATTATTACCTGATGATTCGATTTTGTAAGTTCCATTTGCCATCTATATAATGTGCCGTAATCGCCATGTAACCTTTCTTTTGGTTACTTGCTGTCCACATATCTGAAGTTAAGGCAATCCTACTCTCATTCTCATCCAAACACCGCAAAGTGTAACCTTTTTGTTTTTCATAAATACTCATTATGTCACTCTTTATTGTTGCTCGAGATGGTACCTTAAATAAAGGTTGGAGACCTTCTGAATATTTTCGAAAACCATAGTGCTCGACAATAGAAAGCGGATAATCATGTATAATAATCATCTTAGCTAAGTCTTCCCTACAAAGTTCAACATTAAATGAATATTTACTCATTTTCCCCTTTCCGTCTAAAGCCTTTTGGTCCTGAACTAGGATATGTTGTCTAATATCCTTTGTAACTCTTCTTGGGCAATTCTTAAAATGGTCCTTCAAATGTGTAGTTCCATCGTTGGCTCTACCAGTCAGTTGTTTATTGCAATAATTACATCTTGCATATCGTCTAACACCATCAACATACACTTGTTCAAAATGATTCCAAACAACCGACTTTAATCTTTTTTGCGGTGGTTTATTGCYCGTGYTAGTCCCTACAGGCATGCTTATGGGTTCGTAAGTATCATCACCGGTTGTTACTTGTTCCTTRTTTCCTTCCATCTCAGTCTCATCACCATGTATGTTCTCGTTTTCCGAAGGTTCCATCTAAAATTAAAAAGTTACCATGTATGTGATAATGACATAAGATGAATGAAAAAACCATTAATGAGAATCTATAAATTATAATAAACAAGAAGCCTTGCTAACAAACAAGAAGTCATCATTATAATATTAATAAAGAAAAATCAAAACCCTAATAATATAATAACTAATAAGAAGCCAGATTGGTCCACATTAGTTCACAAATCCCTAATAATATAATAAGAAGTCAGATTGGTCCATATAATAAGAAGTCATATTAGAAGTGAAGACTGAAGATGAAGAAGAAGAATATTGAACCTAACACACCGACACCACTACACCAGGGAGAGGCAGCGCAGGCTCGCAGCGCCGTGAAGGACCTGGAGTCCTGGAGTCCACGCAGCGTCGTCGTCTCCTCGTCGGCCTGTCACCGTCGCACTTCTCTCCGTGGGTTATCGTCGACTCGTCGTCTCCTCGTCACCTGTCACCGTCGCAGTGGAGTCGTGGAGAGTAGAGGAGAAAATCGTCGTTGAAGAGTGGAGGAGAAAATCGTCGTTCGTGGAGTCGTGGAGAGTGGACTGTGCAGACGTGGACTGCAGGTCTGGTACAGGAGAAGCAGGTACGGTACCTGAGAATTGGAGTCTGGAGATTGGAGGGAAAGAGTGAAGGACTAAAAGTGTGGACTGGGTCACTGGGCTGGAAGAAAAGAACTAAGACTAAGGAGTAAGGAGGCATTCAATTAAGTTTACAACCCAAAGCCTAAAAGCCCAAATTTTAAACATATATATAAATAACGGGTACGGGGCGGGGCGGGGAGTGCTATACCCGTCCCCGGCCCCATCCCCGGATTGCACCAAGCGGGGATCCCCGTCCCCGTCCCCGAACCCGATTTTTCGGGGATTCCCCGTCCCCGATCGGGGCGGGTGGACCGGGTTACCCGACGGGTCGGGGTCCATTACCATCCCTAGTTTCCACAAGGTTATTCCTTCTAGTAGTTGTATGTTTTTTCTTAAAGCATCGCCTGCAACAAATCTAAGTTTTGGGGGGTTTTTTCAAGCAACGTACCATTTGCAACAAATGGAATTTTAGGTGAAGATGATGAATCAGAACATAATGTAAAAAAGGTAAAGAAATGAGTGTATAAACACTGAATAATCAGTACATATCACCCATTTACCTACAACCATATGTTCCCTAGCTTCTTTTTCTAAGTTTAATTGCCTCGGTTCGGATTGTGAGCGAGAAGAGTAATCTTTTATTGGGGAAAGCCGGATCCATGAGGTTGGTCGCCCAGCGTCGGCTTTACGAACTAACGCGCAACTATATTTAGGAGTAAGGAAAGGGCTTCTATGACAACGAGGTGTCCGGTTTTACTGAAGGCAAAAGAGCCTGAAATTGTCCGGCCTCGGATGTACCCTTTAGCCGCGAGGGGTATTGACTGCATCTTTTGGTGTAAGTGGGAAACTCTTACTAGCATCACAAGAAGGCAAATGATTCACATTGTTTGTGTGGATAAAGTAGAGGCATCAAGTCTTTGTTGATGTGATTTAAAGTCTCTCTATGAACATAATGTGTATCTTAGTCGTGTTGCTTTGATACCATGAACAAGAACGCTTTAGGGTAGAAATCGATGATCTCTATTCACATTCATGACTGGTATTTATACAAAGAAAAGCCAATATGCTAGCTTTCATCCAATCTAAAATTACGTAGGTGTTCCTTATCTAGAGACCTAAACATATCTAAAAAATACGATATTCTTAGGGGGGCCACTCAAGGGAGAACTAGATAGTTTGTGGTAACCGTGAGATCTAATCTCAATTACAATCACAAAATAGATGGAGAATCATTATTCGCTAAAGAACTTATTATAATATAATTAAAAGGCAGATTGAATTATACCATTGGTCTCTGTGTTTTGCCTTTTTTTTTGTTTTGATCCTAAATTTTAATAATTAAACAGCGTTCTCTAAAACACGAAATAAGGACTACTAGTGTAATTATTGACATATTTAGCAACCACAACCAAAAGACAGTCAAAACATAAGGACCAGCGATATAATTCACACCAAAATGTATAGGTATTTATGATATGTGTAGACCTTGTCTTAGTTTGAAATAATCATTTGAATCTCCACGGAGTCCATGCTTATTTATAAATGACCATGTATAATATTTTTAATCTTTCTGTGACTTTCGTGACAAGATATTAATCTACAGAACTCTTAATTATTATATATTTATATTGTTTTTTTTTTCATTTATAATTCTTCTTAAAAATTTATTATTAATTAATTACTTATTTTTTTCCAAAAAGTTCTATATGATAAAAACCTTTGTGTTACGCCCTTAACTACAATATAATTGACAAAGAAAGAAAACAGTATAAAACTTGCCTTAAGGTTTGGAACATGATTGATATTCTATAAAAATGATAAGATTTATTGAGATTTTCCGTTGCTATAATGAAAAAAAGCTTTGTATTAAAAGAATATTCATGAAAATCCTTCGGTAGGGACGGATCCATATAAAATGTGGTGGTATCACGTGTAATCACAAATTTGATTTCACAGCCGGGAAATTTTTAAACTTCCATAACGTGAAACCAGAGGCATAGCCAAGAGGGGACACGGTAGCGCCTAGCCACCCTCAATGTCCTAAAACTTACAAATTGCAAATTACAAACATTTTGATTTATGGTTTTTTGTTTAACTAAAACTTATGGTTTGAGATTTCATGATGTAGATACCAAAATTGAGTTTATAAAAGTAGATTCTCAGATTAAAAACGAGAGAAATTACATTCATTTTAATACAATTTGCTCTTATTACATTTAAAATTGGGAAAAGTCTTAAATGTACTTTCACATTTTGACTCATCAACTACTTGAACTATTTTTAAATAAATAGATTCTTAAAGTTATTGAATTTTGAACTTTTAATGAAAGGCTTTTTAGACAATCTGTATTTAAAGACACCACTGTAAGAGGTACTTTTTGGTTCACATAGCGGTTAAGGCGCGGTGCCCGAGATGAAACTTAGGAACTATTTTGTTTTAATTCGAAATTAGTACAACTATAATCATATATATATATATATATATGTGTGTGTGTGTGTGTGTGTGTGTGTGTGTCAATTTTTCAAAACATGTATCTATACTATACTATAAAGCATTTAACAAAAACTTTTAAAAATTATTTTTCATGCATTAAGTACCATTTATTAATTCATAATACTTAAAATTCAAGATTACAAGTAAATTAAGCGTAAGTATAACTTATTAAAGCTTCATGTTTGAATTCGTGTAACTAATTGTACATAAATACAATTAAATAGATGATAAACATCTCGTTTTAAATATAAAAAATCTAAGATACAATTARGATAGTCATTGACTTCTAACAAAATATTTAATTATTATCTTTACAAAAAATTATATTATTAAACCAAAAATAAATTAAAGAAAAAGAGAAAAAGAGAAATTTTAAATAGTTAGTTTGATACTAATACCAATATTTTTTTTCATTTTTTATGATATATTCATATTTATATTTTATTCAAAAATAAAAACATTATTGCTTTCTCAAAACCACATAAAACCGTATTATAACATCAAATAAGACAAAGAAATAAATAAAACGAAATATTGAAATCGAGATGTATTTCACTAGCTATATCGTAATGTATAGATATATAGGAGAAAAAACATAGCACACAAATATTTTTGTGATTCAACTTTTGAAACCATCCCCACGAAATAAAAAATCAATAAATATTTGTAATTTGAAACTTTCTCTTCGTTGCACTTCTTTTACGTTGACTTTCTCAACGAATATCGACTTTGTTGACTTTTTCCAACATTTATATGGAAGGCTACTATAAATACGTACCCTCCTTCACAGCTATTCTCATCATCTCATTTCTCAAACCCTATCATCAACTTCTACTTTTGTCACATATAATCATTAGACATATACTTTTTTAACTATATATAGTAATGGAGGTCTTTTCCCTCAACAAAATATCCATCTTGCTATTTCTATTGTTAGGGACCCTAACCACCTTGGCTCTAGGCCAAGGCACTCGGGTTGGCTTCTACAGTACCACCTGTCCAAGGGTCGAATCCATAGTCCGGTCTGCAGTTCAGTCTGGTGTTCGATCTAACCCCAGAGCTGGACCTGGTTTACTAAGAATGTTCTTCCATGATTGTTTTGTGAATGGATGTGATGCATCGATCTTAATTGATGGGCCATCAGCTGAAAAGACCGCGGTGCCCAATGTCCCGATAAGAGGCTTTGAAGTTATCGATGCTGCAAAGACCCAACTCGAAGCCACCTGCCCTGGAGTGGTCTCTTGCGCCGATATTCTTGCCCTTGCTGCCGTGATACTGTAGTCTTGGTAATTGAACATGAGAAGATAGTTTTATATACAAGTTTATTTTAACATGTTTGAGTTCAGTACTTACATTTATATCGATTCATGGACATCATGCAGAGTGGTGGAACTAGTTGGGGAGTGCCAACAGGCCGTAGAGATGGATTGGTTTCACAGGCATCTGATACTTCAAATTTGCCAGCCTTTAACGATCCTATTAGTGTTCAAATCAGAAAGTTTGCCGATAA